CCAAAAGAGACTTACATAAATGGGAAAACATACCATACTCATGGATAGGAAGACTTAACATTGTGAAAATATTGATACTACCTAAAGTGATATAATGCAATCCCAATCCAAATTCCAACAACATCCTTTAACAAAATGGAAAAACAAATCTCCAACTTTATTTGGAAAGGGAGGAGGCCCCGTATAGCTAAAATATTATTGAAGAAGAAGAACAAAGTAGGACTCACACTTCCTGATCTCAGAACCAACTATACAGCCATGGTAGTAAAAAAAAACTTGGTACTGGTACAATGACAAACACGTAGACCAATGGAACAGAATTGAGAACCCAGAAGTAAATCCATCTACCTATGGACAGCTGATCTTTGACAAATTGTTGAAGTCCATTAAATGGGGAAGACAGAGTGTTTTTAACAAACGGTGCTGGCAAAATTGGATATCCATTTGCAGAAAAATGAAACAGGATCCATACCTCACCCATACACAAAAACTAACTCAAAATGGATAAAGTACTAAATGTTAAACCTAAAACTATAAAGTTCACAGAAAAAAAACAGGAACAAAGTTAGGGACCATAATGTGTGGCATAAATACACTGCCAAACATAACTAATAACTAATAATGTACAGACAGCAGAAGATAAACTAGATGACTGGAACTTCCTAAAAATTAAATACTTACGCTCATCAGAAGACGTCACCACAAGAGTAAAAAGAGAACCTACAGACTAGGAGAATATTTTTGGCAATGACATATCTGACAAGGGTCTGATCTCTAAATTTATAGAAAACTTCAACACTTCAACAACAAAAAGACAAACTACCCAGTTAACAAATGGGCAAAGGACGTGAACAAACACTTCACCAAGGAAGACATTCAGGCGGCTAACAAACACATGAACAGATGCTCGCCATCATTAGTCATTAGAGAGATGCAAATTAAAACTACAATGAGATACCATCTCACCCTGGCAATAATGGTACTGATCAAAAAAACAGAAAACAACAAATGCTGGTGAGGTTGTGGGGAGATTGGAACTCTTATACCCTGCTGGTGGGATTGTAAATTGGTACAACCACTATGAAAAATAGTAAGTATGGCACTTCCTTAAAATGCTAGAAATAGAATAGCATATGATCTAGCAATCCCACTCTTAGGTGTATATCCTAGGGAAGTAAGAGCTGTGACACATAGACATATGGACACCCATGTTCATTGCAGCATTATTCATGATAACAGAAAGATGGAAGCAACCTAAGTGTCCATCAATGGATGACTGGATAAACAAATTGTGGTGCATACATACAGTGGAAATACTATACAATGATAAAGAACAATGATGAATCCAAAAACATCTCGCAACATGGATGAATCTGGAAGACATGCTGAGAGAAATTATCACAAAAGGACAAATACTGTATGAGACCACTATTATAAAAAGTCAAGAATAGGTTTACACACAGAAACATTCTTTGATGGTTACCAGGGATGGGAGGAAGAGGGAGGGAGAATCACTAACTAGATAGTAGACACATGTTCATTCTGATGAAGGGAATAGGAATAGACAACATGGGGGAAGTCAGCACAACTTGACCAAGGCAAAGGAAGGCACTGAGAGGCATGCAAGACTAAAGGGTGACTACAGTAAATACTATAACATATACAATCCTGCAACAACAGTAATAACAAACAACAATTTGTGAGTGGATACATAGGTAGCTATGTATGCTAAATATGTGTAGGAGGTCGTATGGGAGTACAGTTGAGTGCATATATAGGTATAACCAAAAAAAACCAAACCCACTGCCGTCAAGTCGATTTCAACTCATAGTGACCCCATAGGGTTTCCGAGGCTATAAATCTCTACAGAAGCAGACTGCCACATCTTTCTCCCGTGGTGTTGCTGATGGTTTCGTACTGCTGATCAGCAGTCGAGGGCTTTAACCACTGGGCTCCCAGGGCTCATTATACATAGGTATAGTTGGGTATATTTGTACATACATATTTGTTTGTGCTGCATGTATATTCATATATCTGACGGAGCACATAGGGGACACAGTTATGGGAACTTCTTAGATACAACCAAACACCTTGAGGGACTGAGTTTCTGGGCTTGAAATCTCAGGACCATAGTCTCGGGGGACATCTAGGTCAATTGGCATAACATAGTTCATAAAGATAATGTTCTACATCCTAGTGTGGTGAGTAATGTCTGGGGTCTTAAAAGCTTGTAAGCAGCCATCTAAGATGCAACTATTGGTCTCTTCCTGTCTGGAGCAAAAGAGAGTGAAGAAAACCAAAGACTCAAAGAAACAATTAGTCCAAAGGACTAATGGCCTACATGAACAACAGCCTCCTCTGGCCTGAGACCAGAAGAACTAGATGGTGCCTGGCTACCACTACTGACCACTGTGACCAGGAATACAATAGAAGGTCCCAGTTAGAAATGGACAAAAATGTAGAACAAAAATCAAATTCATAAAAAGATCAGACTTAACTGGTCTGATAGAGACTGGAGGAACCCCCGAGACTATAGGCCTAAGACATCCTTCTAACTTGTAACTGAAGCCGCTCCCAGAGGTAGCCTTTCAGCCAAGTAATAGATTGGCCTATAAAATTAACAATAACACCCATGAGGAATGCGCTTCTTAGAACTATCAACTATATGAGACCAAAAGGGCAATATTTTCCCCAAAACAAGGATAAGAAGGCAGAGAGGGACACGTAAACTGGACAAATGGACAGGGGAACCCAGAGTGGAAATGGGGTGAGTGCTGACATGTTGTGGGGATTGCAACTAATGTGACAGAACAATTTGTGTATGAATTATTGAATGGGAAAGTATTTGTGTAAACTTTCACCTAAAGCACAATAAAATGTTTAAAGAAAGAAAAGAAAAGAAAAGAAAACCTTATGGAACACAGCTCTACTCTGACATACATGGAGTCTCCATGAGTCAGAATTGACTCGACAGCAATTGGTGGTGGTAGCTTAATACAATAAGGGTTGAAAACTCTCTCTATATATTAAAAACAAATTAAAAAGGAGGCTATAAAAGAGTCCTTTGTGATTCCACTTAACTGCTTAACTTTCAGTTGGCAGAATTTAAAAGTATCAGACCAATTCTTGAAGCATGCATGCCATAAACTGGTTTGGTTTTAATAAAAATGCCATTTTCAGACAAGACAGGTAAAGGATATGAAATGACTATCTGGGGCTGAGACAAAGATGGAGCATTTGAAAGATACACAGGAAAACCACCCACCTGTTGATATTTTGAAGGGCTCTCTGGACTCTTAGTAGTTGGCCTGGAAGGCGTGCAGAAATTAGAAGAGCTCCAGGAGCTGGAGTTTGGCAGAGGATTTGCATATAAGCAGCCTCTGAGCATCACACTGCCATCCCTCCCAAGCCTCTTACGGAAACAACTTGTGAGTATGTTTTGTTTAACAATGTCCTTCACTAACCTGTTGCCATTGAGTCGATTATGACTCAAGGTTGGCGGTTCAAATCCAGGAGCCACTCCTTGGAAACCCTATGGGGAGGCAGTTCTACTCTGTTCTATAGGGTCGCTATGAGTCAGAATCTATTGGACAGCAATGAGTCCTTCGCTAGGTCCTATTAATTATAATAATTTTTAAAACCTGGAGAGCATTTTTTCTCTTTGTGTATAATGTGATGCAGGCTAACACAGATGGAGAAAAATCATATGTGATATGGATTCTGTTTTTCAGGACACAATTGTGGAAAGAACTTGCTGCAGTATGCACCTGCAATGTTTTGGAGAAGAAGGGGACAGAGGAGATGATGGGGATCCTGGGAGCAAGGTGGGAATTTTTTGGGCAGGAGGGAATGTGACAAGGGAGAGAGGTGACACTTCAGTACCCACTTCACATCAGGCCCTGTATTATGTATTTAACAATCATTTTCTAATTTTAAAGGAGCCCTGGTGGGGCAGTGGTTAAGTGCTGGACTGCTAAATGAAAGGTCAGTGGTTCAAACTCACCAGCCTCTCTCAGAGAGAAAGATGTAGTAGTTGGCTTCCGTAAAGACTTACAGCCTTGGAAACCCCGTTGGGCAGTTCTACTCTATCCTACAGGGTCACTATGAGTCAAAATAGACTCAATGGCACTGGGTTTTGTTTTTTTTTCTAATTTTACCTTCCTAACAAAACGTTGAGGTAGATGTTATTAATGGGTACAGCTGAGGCTCAGAGAGGGGATATAATTTTTGCAAAATTGCACAGTTATGAAGAGGCAAACTGGGATTTAAGCCCCTATATCTACTTGACTCCAAGTCTCACATTCTTTCCACCACATTATGCGGCCTACTTACATTTGACAAATAATTTTACAAATTTTCTCATGGCACAAAAGTTTTCACTTGTCTACAAAATTTTCACTTGTCTCACATATGCTTTCATTACAGTAGTAAATGCTTCTTTCCCTCCTGTGTAACATTCTTTTCCATAGCTTAAAACCCTGAGAGGAGATAGAATCTCTGGTTTCACGTGGTGGTTAATTTGCATCTCCCTGTTAACTCTAGGGTTTACTGGTAGGAAAATTACTACTTAACACATTTAAGGGAGAGTATCTCATTAGAAATGATCCTCAGATCCTCATTCTCGAAGGGATGATAGCTGTATTTTGTTGGAGGTATAATCATATCCATAACCCATTGGCTTTGCACCATCTTTTTACATACTGTCTTTGGAAGGTTTTCCATGAATTTGTGGAGTAAACTCTTAATGGCTTTGCAGTTCAGACTTTTTAATTTAGGACAGTATAAAGTGTATAATTACATTTTGAAAAATAAATTGTAGTTATGTCTTAGCACTGGATTCCCTGTCCCCTACCCCATGTTGTTCTTTAATATCAGATTGGTGAATTAGAAAATTAAACTTGAAAACCACTTAACATAATTTCTTTGCAACGGGGACAGTGCCTCAAAGAGACACTTTTGAATTTTTCACTTCTCTGCTCTTTCAGCTTGTTAGAATTCAGTGGTTGGTTAGGCTGGTTGTGTTGACTTTCATAGCTTTGTTGATCACAAATAGAATATGTTACCCAGGTCTTACTAATCAGTGTTTAGACGTAAATAAATTAAAAAAAAAAAAAATCTGGCTATAAAATGACAAGCCAGACTTCCTTGAGACGAAGTGGGTTTTTGTGTTTAGGTATGTTAGAGAGGGTATAAAAAAAGAAACTAAATAGCTGAGTCATACGTAAATAAATCACCATTTCTCAAAAGCAATATGGCCAGTAACACCGTTGCTTACCGTTCTTTAAAACAAGGTCAAAATCCTCTTCAGGAGAGAAAGTTTTTCTTTAAGCTTTTAAGTAGAAACTAATATTGGCTTGAATTTTCAAAATAGCATGATTTATAAGTATTGCCTCCTGGAATTATTATTTAGGAAGCATTGAGTTTTTGTTTATGGGTATGGAAAATTTGGCAAAGTATGCTGGTGATGGTTTCACAACATGATCAATGTAATTGATCTCACTGAATGGTATACATGAAAAATATTGAATTGGCAAATATTGTTTTATCTATATTTTTACAACCGTAAAAAATTGAATTATACTGAAGTCTGTGTAATACAGAAAGTGATGAGCTTAAAAAAAGCATGATTTAATAAGGTATTTTGGGAAAAATTAAAATAGGTTGACTATGAAGGCAAAAAAGTATTCAAGTTTTCGTTTTAACAAGGCCAAGAATATCTCTGTAGCCTGAACACCTAGCCTTGTGCTGGGAGTTCTTCTAAAACAGTAGTAGTAGTAGATTCTCAAAAAAAGTCAGTTCAGGAGGCAAGGACATCTATCACTAACAATTTTTATTTCACATAGAATTGAGAAATGAAGAATTTACAGCCTGGCTTATTTATTTCAATTGTTGTTTTTCTTAGGGAGAAAAGGGTCCTGATGGATTACTGGGCCATCCTGGTGAAGAAGGTGTACTTGTAAGTACAGTATCTTAATTTTTTCTTTGAAGGACTATGGTAAACTGGTCATTTATTAGCAATGCTTAATTACACTTAAGTCATGAAAGTTTTTCTAATCTATACCATTTAAAATGGGTTTAAAATATCTGTATAAAAACAATCATTTATCAAAACATGTCAGGTGGACAATTTTTTTTAAAGATATAGATTCTAGAAGGCATTTAATGATGAAGTGTGGTCACTTTGTTTTTTTATCAGTGAATTTGAGATAGCTAAAAGTGTGGTCTGTGTCTAAAGTGCATGAATGTAAGATAAGCTGTTAACTGTGAGCTGAATTGCAAAATAGCATTACTATTAATAAAGAAAGTCCTGGGTGGTGCAAACGATTGGCTCTCGGCTACTACCTGAAAGGTTGGTGGTTCGAGCCCACCCAACAGCACCATGGAAGAAAGGCCTGGTGATCTACTTCTGTAAAGATGACAGCCAAGAAAACCCTGTAGACTTCACTTCTACACATGTGGTCACCATGAGTCGGAATGGACTTGATGACAATGGGTTTTACTGATAAAGTCATCATGTTTGTAAGTGGCTTAACAAAATAAATGGACGAATCTAAGGCCAATCTTATAACTGGGTCACTCACATGCCTTACTGAGTAGCCAAAAAGGCAGTGGAGTTATTGTTACCCAACATGGAAAAGTGTTGGACAAGGGAAAGTTATCTACCACGTGGTTGGCTGTGGATAAAAATGTGTATATATGGAGAGGATTACTGAGCTAGGGGACTAGAATGTAGTAGAGATCATCTTTCTTATATAATGTAAATACCAGAAGGATGTAAAAATCCCCAATGCATGGTTTTTGGTTAATTTTGAATTATTGAAAACCCCTTTGCCACAGGTGTCTATTTTAAAGTTGATTTGTATATACTACTGGTTCTCAAACATTTTGGACTCGGGGTACCTTTGCATTCTCTAAAGATTACTGAAGACTTCAACAAGCTTTTGTTTATGGGGATTATAACTATCAATATTTACTTTATGAGAAAATGAAACTGAGAACATTTTAAATTGTTGTTTTATTTAAAAATAACTAAAATAAATCCATTATATGCTACCATAAATGACATATTTCTTTGTGAAATAGCTGTATTTTCCAAAGCAAAAGTTAAAAAAAATTAGCAAGATGAGTGGCATTGCTTTTATATTTTCACATTTCTTTGATGTTTAGCTTAATAGAAGACAGCTGGATTCTCATATCTGCTTCTGTATTCACTCTGTTGTGTTATCACACGCTATGTGATGTCTTGAAAACTCTACTGCACAATTGGGAGAGAATATGAGTAAAAAAAACAGAGTAGTATTTTAGTGTTACTGGGAAAATAGTTTTAATCCTGTGAATCCCCTGGAAGGGTTTCAGAGACCCCAGGGGTCCTTGGTCCACACTTGGAGAAATATTGATATGTAAAAGCATTAGTGTTCTTATTGCTTTACTTAGAGTGGCACATTGTTTTATTAGGGTAAATATTTAGGTTGTCTGAATTTGGAAAATAAGCAGGAATTATAGAAAAATGCAGCTGCCGAGATCTGTGTTAGCTGATCCATTTCTTTGACTATACTTATGAGAGAATTGATCTCTTTTCTCTTTATTTTGCCTCAGTAAGCATAGCCTTATTGTTAGCTGCCATCAAGTTGGCTCCTGACTTATGGCGATGCCATGCCCAACAGGATCACATCATTGTGATCCATAGGGTTTTCACTGGCTGATTTTCAGAGGTAGATCACCAGCCTTTTCTTCCTAGTCTTAGTCTGGAAGCTCTGCTAAAACCTGTTCAGCAACACACAAGCCTCCACTGACAGGCAAGTGGAGGCTGCGCTTGAAGTACATTGGCTGGGAATCAAACGCAGGTCTCCTGCATGGTAGGCGAGAATCCTATTGCTGAACCATCACTGTCCTTGAGCATAGCCTTAGATGTTATAAATAAATTCAGGAATGTGAATTGCAGATTTTCGTTATTTTTTTTTTAGGAGTAGAGAAGAAATTTCTTTCAATTTTCATGATGTGTTTAAATGTCCTTTAAGTGTTATTTCATTTTTTTCTGTTTGGCAGAGGTTGGCTTGAGGTTCAATGAACCTGGCCAAAGTTAGTAGAATAATTTAAGATTCATCCAATCCATTAGGACCTTTGACTCTAATTTCAGACAGACAGGATAAATAAGCCTTTGTCAAATTTAAGACTACTCTCTTATTTTCTAAGGGATATTTTAGGAAAATACCTACCAATTTAATTATATATGTATAGCAACTGAAACTTTAGAAATTGAAACTAGAAGTCACAAGAATTTTTTTTTTTAAGTTTTGTTAAAAATAAAACCTTAAGAATTTTTCCTTGGTGTCCCTGCTTTATTAGGGATGTCTGTTTTGAAATATCAACTATTTTCTAATAAAGGAAACAGCCAATTGTTCAGGATTGGTAACACTGTATAATGCAAGATAGTATAGTAGACGTGTTAGGATTAAATTCCACAGATGAAGCTGCCATAACAAAATACCACAAAGTGGGTGGCTTTAAACAACAGAAGTTTATTGCCTCATAGTTCTGGAGGCTGACAGTCTGAGATCAGAGTGTCGAATAACTCCTTCTGAGGCTTTCAGAGAGAATCCGTTCCATGCCTCCCTCCTAGCTTCTGTGGCTCCGGCTAGCCCTTGGCTTCTAGCTGCAATCACATGGTGTCCTTCCTCTGTCTCTCTGTGTCTGTTCTCTTTTACAAGAACAGCACTCAGATGGAATTAAGACCCATCCCAGTCTGGTATAACCTCATGTTAACTGATAACATCATCAAAGACCCTGTTTCTGAGCAAGGACATGTAGACAGGTACCAGGCGTTAAGACTTTGACGTATCTTCTTGGGAGACACAATTCAATCCATATGAAGCTTAAACACCCAACATTGAACCTAAAAACGCATAGAGATTAGGAAGAAGGGGGAAAACAGACATTTAAAAAATATGGATTATGTGTCAGAGCTTGCATTAGGCATTTTGTGAACGTTATTGCTCTTAATCCTCGTCACATACCTACTGGTATGTGTTAATATTTTCATCTTAGAGTTGCTAAGGTCACATGAGGGGCCGTGGCGGCACAATGGTTAAGTACTCAACTGCTAACTGAAAGATTGGAGGGTTGAACCCAGCCAGTGGCTCTGGAGGAGAAAAGACCTGGCAACTTGCTCCCATAAAGATTACAGCCTAGGAAACCCTATGGGGCAATTCTACTCTGTAATACTCGGTGGCTACAAGTTGGAATCGACTAGACGGCACACAACAACAAAGGTCTCATAGAGAGGGTTGGAGATGTGCCCAAGCCCATGTCTATCTGATGCTAGAACCTGTGCTTTTCTCATTATCTCTTCTTTTTTTGTATAAACACCTCATTTGTTCAACCCATACGATTTGTTAATTACTTTCAATACCTTGTCTCATGTGTTCAACACAACAATCCCACGAGATGGTTGGAATCAGTGTTATCTATACCCACTTTTCATAAATGAGGAAATGCAATTCATAGTCATGTACTCGCCTAAACTCGCAAAACAAGCTGGAAGCAGAATTAGGACTTGAGCCCAGGTCCCTTCCTTCTAGATCCAGAGTGCTTCTCACTCTACCATGTGCCTTTTTGCTGTTCTGGACAACTTAGGCAGGGCAGTTATCCATCTTCATTAATTCAAAGTTAGATATTATATTTGTGTAAACCTTCTTTTGATGAAAGCTCATGGAATGTGTGGTACTTTTTAATTAATATTTAATCAATTTGGCAAGAGCATGATGTTCATCATCCCCTTCCTTATCCAATACCTGGATCAAAAGATTATAAGCATTAATTCATTCTTCAAATTCTGATTGGGTGTCTACTGTGTGCAGATGAAGCTTATATTAGTTTCCCAGGCTACTATAAAAATAGCACTGTGGTTGGGGATGGAAACCAAAAAATAAATAAATGAGATATTGTCCATGCCTTCAAAATGCTCATAATATAGCAAGAGATTCTGATATGTTAAAAAAAAAATCCCACTATGATATGATGTGCTAAGTACTGAAACAGTGGTATCCCCAAATACTACAAGCAAACTGAAGGGACAATTGGCTAGTGTGAACAGAAAAAAGCTTCTCAGAAGAGAAGGTAACATGATCCATCTTTTAGGAATGGATAGGATTTCAGTTAGAAGAGAAAAAGTGTTAAATGTGGTTTATTCTTTGTGGCACCATAAGGAACGCTTCATCCAGTTCCAGCTGCCTGAGGGAACTTTTGAGACACACTTTTCGTTTGCATTTGAACTCTGAAGTTTTGCCCATGTAGATTGACTGCATGGGAAATATATATATATATGTAAATAATTTGGTTTTGTATTATTTAGGGTTATCCATGTGGGCAGTGGAAAGCCTGGTGGTGTGTTGATTAAGAGCCACGGCTGCTAACCAAAAGGTCAACAGTTCGAATCCACCAGGTGCTCCTTGGAAACCATATGGGGTAGTTCTACTCTGTCCTGTAGGGTTGCTATGAGTCGGAATCGACTCAATGGCGACGGGTTTGGTTTTGTTTTTTTGATGTGGGCAGTTGAAGAATGCATAATCTAATTGTCTTGCAGATGATCCTATCAGGCCTTTGAGGATGTAGAAGTCACTGTAAGGACTGTGCCATATTTTAGTCATTCTGATTCCCATTATTACTGATATGAATTGGCTAGGTGGTGATATAGACAGTGGTTTGACTATCTTCACGTGTATCTTTATTCCACAGGGAGAGAGAGGTCCCCGTGGTCTTCCTGGGCTCCGAGGGGAGGGAGGATGCCTCGGTCTGAGGGGACCTAAGGTGAGTATGAGGGTGTTTTAGTTTATGTTTCCCAGAAGCAGAGCCTGAGAATAGGAATAAGTACAAGTAATTTACTGGGAGGTTATCACAGAAAACACTAATATGGGAGTGGGGAAGTTAAGACCGGGAGGCAAGGTAGCCTAAAAAGGGTATGTTATCAATTACATTACCACTGAGGGTAGATGGAGCTTAATCCTGCTGGGGAACTCTGGGAGCCATTGTCCAACATGTACCTCAATGTTATCCCACTTGAAGGGCAAGGGAGCTGGGGTGTTCATACACCAACTTTTATCAGATGTTAGTTGAGGGCTGCTTTTGGGAGCATTAATTCCCCAGCACATCTGGCCTCTTCTGCATGTGGGCAGAGCAGGCTCTGGTTCCAGAGAAAACCCTCAGGAAAAGAGTGGCAGGTGCTGGTGGTTGGAAGTTGGGCTTGAGAGCACTGAAATTGTAGAGACTGAAGAGATATGGGTGGGACACCCTTTATGAGTAGCTGCATTAAATACTTCTCAATCTTCCAGGATTGGAGGATCTTTTTAATAAGGCCAGAAAAACTTTTCTACAACCTCAGTGTCCTAAAGACAGTTTTTCTGACCACAAGGACCATGTTCTGTGTATTCTAGCAAGTTACTATCTCCATTAATCTATCCTGTTGTTCCTGGGGGGCCTCTCATGCTTGTTTCCTGGTGTATTCTTATTTTTATTTGAAAAAAAAATGCTTGTTATAGTAAAAGGTGGCAGGTCACTTCTGTTCCCCGGCCACCCCTACTGTGTGAAGAGTTGCAAGGTGGAATTTTTTCTAAGACACAATCACAGGGAGGGAGGTGGTAGTAATCAGAGTCCTAATGACATTCACTAGAGAAGAAATCTTCATTTTGATCTAATAATTGTATTTTCTTGAAATTAGGGAATACATGGTTTCCTAAATGAAATAGGGTTTTGAAAATCTCATTCACACTCAATTCTTTTTAACTTTAGGGAGCCAGAGGATCTTCAGGAGAGAAGGTATGTGACTTCCTTTACTCTTCTTTAACTGGAAATCAGTTTCTTCGGGAAGCAATACTAATTCCAATTGCTTTTCCTTTGCTTAAGTGAGGCAAAAACTTTTAAACAAATGAAAGTGTCAGATGGTATTGTTTTAGCCCAAACCACCATGCTAATGGCTATTTCTAAGATATGCGTTTCAGGTTTAGGAAAGTGATATATATTAGTATCTTCAAAGCTTTCTAACTTTATAGTAATTGAGCCACCATATTTATCACATGATGGTCTGGAGGAGTTGTTACAGAATTTGAGGGATCGTAGGGAGGGTCTGGTCAAGGTGAATGTCGAAAGGGAGAGGGTTCTAGGATAGGGCTGTTGGGAAAGAAGCTGGTACGTAAGGGTGTTACTTTACATTCAGATTCAGAACCAGAGTGTATTCATTTGTTCATTTATCCATTCAACAAATATTTATTAGGTACCCATTCTGTTCCCCACGTTATACTAGGGGATGATTGCAACACGATGAACAAGACAGACAGGGACTCATGGAGCTTCCTTACTCATGTTATTTGGTATCACTGACTTGCCCAACATGGTGTGTGGCAAATGAACTATGTCCAAGCGCTTAGTATGCTTATTTTCATGTCCTAACCCAGCTGTACTTTAGTTTAAAAAAAGCCTGAAAATTGACTTCCCTGTGTGGACAATAGGGATAAATCAACTATTCCATACATGCAAAATGAATTTTATTCTGCTTTCAAAACTCCGGATTTCTTCTTCAAGAGATGCTTTGTAATGAATACATTAACTGTTATATTGAGATAGTTGGTGAAATGAAAGGCCTATAATTTGAAAGTGATGGAATATTTGATGAGATGTCACTATGCAGCTGCTTATTTTTACTCTTATTTAGTTTGCTTCATTTTTCCAGTTATTTTCTTAAGGAGGTTTTTTAAAAAAAAGTTATTAATACACATCTCCCAAGATGCACATACGCGCACACACACACATTTAATTTCTCCTTAGTCTGTGATTTTCCAAGTTCCCGTTACAAATATTAATTCAGGGATATTTGCCAGTATTTTTAAATCAGAGAAAGCCAGTGACAAAAGGACCACCTTTAGCATGCAGTTAACCAGTGGGAAGTGTTTCATGTAGTCTTGTGAAAGAGTTATTTGTTCCTAGTGCAGAAGTTGAAAAGGAAGTCTTACTATCCATTCAAAATCTGAGGTGTTTTCTTAGCTTTTTTTTTTTTTTTTTAGCACCTTAAGCTGTCAAGAAAAACAGTATACACTTCTAATGCCTAATTCTGAAAGAAAATAATCTCATTGCTGTCTCACAAGTCTATATTCTTTGTCAACTAAAAAAAATAACGGCAAGAAAGTTAACGTCAAGGAAATAATCAGGTACCCCTGTTCCTCTTATCTCTAACGTTCTGATCTTCCTTTGCTCCACAGGGTGACCCTGGGGAGGAAGGTACTGATGGCTTGAATGGAGAAGAGGTAAAGAAAGTTTCTCACTCTTCTCCCCATCCCCACTAGTTTGGCATTTATACTCTCTATTTATACTTTTCACTATTAGTCTAGAAATTTTAACATAAATAAGCAACAATGTCTAAAGTTAATTTATATTTTTGCCCTTATCCCCAAAATACAAGGATTCTAGAAACTTAGCTCTGACACACCCTCTTTCGTGGTACAGATAATTGTCTAGTATTTTGTTTCCATCCTTTCTTTAAATTTGTTAAATTCTACCAATGAGACATTGTTATTGTTTTGTATAGTCAATGCTTGTCTGGATTTACCCTTATGTTTACTAGTATCACTGATGCTTTCCTTTGGGATCATGTTTCTTATGTCTGAGGTACAACTTCTAGAATTTCCTTTAGGAAATGTCAGTTCATCATAAACTCCCTTGGTTTTTGTTTTTCTGAAAAACTATTTTACCTTCTTTCTTTTCTTCTTCTTTTTTTTTTACTCACAATTATGGGGTTTATTAGGGAAGTAACAGTTACAATTCAGGCTCAAGAACACTCAGGATATAGTTCTTCCATCAGGATAGTCTCTCCCCAGCTGTGCTCACAGGCACGCCTCTCTCTGGCCCTCAGTCTTTGCCCAAAGACACTCAGCTTTCTCTCTCCATAGGCCAGGAAGCCCACCATGCCATTTCCTGCTGCTGGGTCTCTCCTGCTGGTCTCTCCTTCCTTGATGGTGGCGGGCTCCTCTTTGCTCTGGAATTGGCTCTCTTTTAAGGCAACACTGACCAATCCCCTTGGTAGACCACAATTACCCTGTCACACAATCACCTGGGTGGGAGTTACAAGACCATGGCTAGAAAGGCCACACACAAAAGTAATTAATCCACCACAGATTTTTGTAGTTTTTGGTTTTATACTCAGATCTTCCATCCATTTTTGTGTATGGTGTGAGATATAGGTCCTGTTTCATTTTTTTTTGCAGATGGACATCCAGTTTTGCCAGCACTATTTGTTAAAAAGATTGTCTTTTCCCCATTTAATGGACTTTGGGGCTTTGTCAAATATTAGGCAACAGTAGGTAGATGGATTTACATCTGGTTCTCAGTTCTGTTCCACTGATCAATGT